ATACGAATATGCATGGTGATTGGGCAGTTTGCAAAAAACTGTAATATGCATTGTTTGTGTAAATCCCTCTACCAGCTGTAGACTATATATTACTGGATTTCTTCACCTATTAAAAAATGACAAGCTATCCAATACACTGGTATGCTTAAGCTTTCTATAAAGTGAATTAAAAGCAAAAGGGTCAAAAAAAAAAAAAAATACAGCCAAGGAGACTTTCAGTTGCAAAGAAAGATAAGTAAGCTAAAAAGGTCTGAGCAAAAACAACTGCTATCAAATCATACAAAACTAAAACCAAACCCACTGCCTTTTATTCTATTCTGACTCATAGTGATGCTACAGGATAGAGTAGAACTCCTCACAGGGTTTCCAAGGCTGTATCTCTATGAATGCAGACTTCCCTACAGCTTTCTCCCAAGGAGTGGGTAACACATACACCCACCAATTTTCCAATTAGCAGTGAAGTGCTTTAACTGAACCATCAGGACTGGCTGAGACAAAAATAAGATTTCAATATTTATTTAACACCATCAAAATTGTTTAAGGTTGATACTGAGGCTCCTGCAGGTACCAATCCCATGAAACTGCATTAAGGGTAATTTTTGGGGTAAGTTTATCAAACTAGTAACTTAAACATCTATTACAAGGACTATATTGTTGTTAAGTCAGTTCTGACTCACAGCGACCCAGTACAGGGTTTTTGAGGAGTGGTTGGTGAATTTGAACCACCGACCTTGCAGTCCAGTGCATTATCGTATAGCGTCAAACCAGGACTCCAGCAGGACTACAGATTAAGACCAAGGTAAATAGTACAGGAAGAGAGAGGCTAGGCTACACTGGGCAATAACATTTTATTAGAAGTTAAGTCTTACTGCTAGTCTTAAAGATGAACATTGACTAATCCACTTCCCAGCTTGAAAAGCACCCAGAGAAAAATCTGGTGGCTCAAGGACAAATACTGTGTCTCCAACTCCTGAATCAATCTTCAATCTACTGTATCCCAACATACTATGCAAAACCAAGTTGCTATTAATTGATAAGTATAATTTAGAGAAGATGAAAACAGTGATTACATAAAACAAAAAGGACAACAACAACAAAGGGAAAACAAAATTTATAGTTTGTTCTTTTGGTTTTTGTTGTTATGTGCCGTGGTGTCTGTTCTGACTCATATCAACCCTGTATAGGGTGTCCGAGGCTGTAAATCTTTACAGGAGCAGAAAGCCTCATATTTCTCCCGCGGAACAGCTGGTAGTTTTGAACTGCTGACCTTAAGGTTAGCAGCCCGATTCGTAACCACTACGCCTCATGCAATTGTGTATATTAGAGGTACAGTAGCTGCTAACTCACCACTTTTTGTATAAAAACTTATAGAATTCATTACCCATAAACAAGTTTCACATAGAAAACTAAGTTCAACATCAAACAGATTAAGCTACTAATTCTGCATTATGATTTGATCAAATAATTGCAAAGTAAAGAAACAGTTGTCAGCAGCTTTATTGTTGAGTGTCACTGAATCTGTTACAGCTCACAGAGAGCCCGTAGAAGGGTTCCAAGGAGCGGCTGGTGAGTTTCAACCGCCATTAGCAATCCAGTGCTTATTCTATAATGCCACACCAGGACCCCTCAATGATTTCAGAAAACAAATCAGGTTGGTGCTAGCAATGGTTTTAGAAAAGTCATTAGAAATACCATCACAGGCATACAGAATCTAAATGCAAAGCTTGGTGCTTCTAATCATTTTGTTTTTTAGGTTTGAACTGCTAAAGGATAGACATGTTTATGTTTAGAAGTATGGTCTCACAATGGCTGAGAGAGAGCAGGGCATTTCTGATTTAATGTGCATAGAGACCCCCTAGGGATCTTGTTATAATACACATTTGCTCACAAGTATAAGATGAGGTCTGAGATTCTGTGCCAGGTGATGTTGATGTTACTGGTCTGCAGCCTACACTTTTGGGGTAGCAAGGATTTAGTCTTCACTTCTAAAAAAACATGCCTATTCCTATCTCTAGTAACCTCTTGCTTTGCTATAGTATCGTCTATGGTTTTCTCTCCTGCAGCACATGTGACACATAAGACATTATTTACCAGGCTGTTCACTTGGCTATATCCTAAACTAGACTGCTAGAAGCCCTGGGATCTACAAGATTTAGAATAGTGACAGACACTAAGCACATGGTATTTATTGAATTAAAACAAGAGCTACAGTTTCAACAGTCTTAAAAGCATAACATGACCTATCTGTTGGAAATCTAATTCTTTTCCTACACCAATGAATTTGGCAATACTTGCCACTCGCCTGAAAATCATTCCACTAAGTTCTAAAACCTTGTGAAACTTAGTATGTGGCTTTGAATCTGGGAAACATATTAAACATTATATTTAATGTGATTATTTCATATACAATAATTTAAGTGAGAAAGGAGCTCTGGTAGCGTAGTGGTTACGAATGGGGCTGCGGAGCAGCAAGGTCAGCAGTTTGAAACTACCAGCTGTTCCGCAGGAGAAAGATGAGGCTTTCTGCTCCCATAAAGATTTACAGCCTCGGAAGCCCTGTACAGGGTTGCTATGAGTCGGAACCGACTCCATGGCACATAACAACAACAACATGTAACTATAGAAATATTATAAAACATGAGTTGTTGCTAAGTGCTGTTGCGTTGGTTCTGACTCATAGCGACCATGGGTTTCTGAGGAGCAGATGATAAGTTTGAACCACCAACTCTGTGGTTCAAACCGGCCTTGTGGTCCAGTGCTTATCTTACAGCTACACACCACATGTTGTTGTTGTTCCTAAATGCCATCGAGTCGGTTCCGACCCATAGAGACCCTGAATAGGGTTTCCGAGGCTATAAATCTTTATGAGAGCAGAAAGCCTTATCTTTCTCTCGTGGAGCAGCTGGTAGTTTCAAACGGGTGACCTTGTGGTTCGCAACCCTATTCATAACCACACTAAGCTTCGAGAGCTCCAGTGAAGGAGGAAAATTGATTTAATAAGGAATATCTCTCTTGGCAGAACAAAAAATAATTCTGAAACGATTTAAAATAATAGAAGAGTGCAAGTAAAATATTGTGTTTCTGTTTGTTGTTAAGTATCGTCAAATTGGTTCCGACTCACAGCGACCCTGTATAGGGTTTCCTTGTGGTTCAATATGACCTTGGTGGTCCAGTGATTATTCTACAGTGCCACACCAAGGTTCCATAAAGTGTTTCCGTTCCCTGCATATATCTTTGTCATAGACAAATAGCTGAATCCCATGCAACTGCTGTTGTTAAGTGCCACTGAATCAGTATCAATTCATAGAGACCCAATGCGCAACAGAAAGAAATATGCCTGCTACTGGGTCAACCTCACAATTGTTCCTAAGTCTGAGCTCATTGCTGCCACCACTGTGCCAATCCCTCATTGTTAGTCTTCCTTTTTTATTCTGACCTTCCATTTTACCAAACATGAATTTTTCTCCAGCAACTGGTCCCTCTCCTGATAGTATGTCCGAAACATGAGAGATGAAATCTGGCCATCCTGCCTTCCCAGAAGCACTCTGGCTGTACTTCTTTCAACACAGATCTCTTGGTTCTTTTGGCAGCCTCATGGTACTTTCAATATTGTCCTCCAACACCATAACTCAAATTCATCAATTCTTATGTGGTCTTCCTTATTCACTGTCCAGCTTTCGCAGGCATATGAGGTTATTGAAATACCATGGCTTGATATTTCATTTTGGAGAATGAAATATAATGGATTTTATTCTGAGACTAATTTTTTACATTAAAATCAATTTATATTTTCTCTGATTTTATAACTCCAAAATTAGATGATCAAGGAAGGTCAAGACATTATTCCTATTTTTAAAAATGAAACTATTATCATTGTAAGCAATTTAAATTGAGACATTTTAAAACTGTCAGTTATTTTGACTAGCATTTCTGCACTGTTTTATAAATATAAATTTTAGAAAACATCTAAGAAAGCAGTGATTCTGTCACTAAAGAAATAATTCTTAGCTATAATATTGGTCATATTTTATCACTTAGATACCACTTTAAAAGAATTGGGACTTGATCTAAAAGGATAGAAGCCACACTAGTTAAAACAAGCAGGGAAAGAGTTGCCTTCACATCCTGACTTCACTTTAACACTACTGAAATAAATCCTAACCTGAAAAAACATTCCACAAGAGCATTTTAATTATAAAAGTTAAAATGAGCTATTTCCCATCATGTAATTTTTCTTGGTATGTTTGATACTAATTAAAGCTAAAAATATATGCTTTAAAGCTCTACAAAGAAGTAGTCACAAACTCAAAAAACTAAGTATAACATAAAACTACAAGCTCTAAAGAGTATTTCTAATAGGAAGTATAATTACATTGTTGTATTTTATGTTCCAACTAAGTTGCAATTCCAAATGCAATCACTTAAAGTTTAATAAATTACATGCTTCATTGATAGCATTAAAAAACAATGCAAAATTTTAGGCAAAGACTTGAATTATGCTTTCTGGGACCCTCAACAGGAAGTCAGCAGTCATTCAGCCCCTGGCAAGTTGTTCAACATTATCCCAGGAAGGTGCAGCTTGCGAGGGCCAAGGGTCTTCTGGAAAGAACTTGTTCTTCCAGCAGAACATCCTCTCCTCTCTAGGGCTGGGCACCCAACAAGGTGGCCTTTGGTCTCCGTTGGCTTTGTTTCTGCCTAGGGGAATGGCTAGTAGCAAGGATTGTACAATGTGGTGAATGTAACTCACATCATTGAAGTGCACACTTAAAAATAGTTAAAATGGGAAATTTTTGTTTTATGTATTTCACCACAATAACCTTAAGAGGAAAAGAATTAGGGCAAAAAATTAATAACTAAAACACCATACAAGTCAACATTACAACATACATAAATTCTACTTGAGGTTACTTAAAAAGTTTCCTTTTGAATGAAGGTTACACATACATTTTAAAGAACTTCTCCAATTATCTTTTCTCTCAGTATCAATAAAAGAGTCCTACCTGTTTGGAACGAGGTCTACCAGGAGAAAATTTTCTTTTGGTAATAGCTGGTTTACCCATACCAATTTTTGGAGTGACTGAGATGTACGTTGTTGGCATGATGTTTCCAGCAGAAGAACTGAGAGTTGAAGGGTAACTGTGCAGCATGTCATGTGAAGGCAAGTCTGAAGAAAGAGTTGGAGAGGAAGACACGTTTGCCTTGCTTACGTCTGCTGCTGATGAAAATGATGACTCTGTCTCAGATGGTAATTTTAAAGATGTGTCTCCTTGGCATGAACTATCTTTTACACAGCACTCAATTGCAGGAGTCATTTCAAATTCCAAAAGCGCACTGGAAGATTCAGAATTTGTTTTCTGTTCCATTTCTTCTTGTAACCTTTCTGCAGACAATTGTTCTTTAGAACATAAAGAAGTACTTGCCTCACGTGGGGGCATTAAGGTTTCTGGTGGAACAGAGACACCATCAATAGTTAATCTTGAAGGCCTTGATTCTTCTGAGGTTACGACCACTTTAAGCTCCTTGGACAACTGTAGTTCCTCTTGCTGCCCAATGTTCTGGTGTACTATCAAGTCAATATTTTCTGTTACTTCTACTTTGTTGTCATTTTGATCTTCATTACAAATATGCATCACTTTAGAAGGCATTTCCAGTTTTTCACTTTCAACTTCATGAGAAATCATATTTTCCAATTCAGGATTCATTTTATTTTTAGATGATTCTATAAAATTTGGAGCATTCATTATATTAATGTACATATACATCTTAAAATTTCTAACTAAGACTAAACATAAGATATTAATAATAAATCAATCACTCCTGATGCTTAATAATAATAGGCTTCAGTAGAAAACAGGGTTGGGAGTAGTTTTCAAAACATTCTTTTGATTAAATCATGACTTAAATCAGAATGTGTTCATCAAAAACGGCAATTATTAAGTAAAAAACCATAGTTAATGGGTTTGAATCAATCCCTGACCATAAAACCTTACAAAAACATGGCTTTAAAAGGTCTAAGGTAATTTGTGATAAGAATATTAAGATAAAATGAGTCACTAATATAATTCTATTATACATCCATAATGTTTTACAGCTTGAACAATTACAAAAGGATCGAATATTATGTAGGTGAAGTTATACTCATTTTACAGCCTGGAAAATGAGATTCAGTGATATTATATCAAGTGTTCACATAAAAAAATGAAGACACCCAAGTGTAAAAAAGATTCTGTCAATTCAAATGAGTAACAAGCAAAGACAAAGACGATACACTAACTAGAAAAAATGATTTTGCATAAGTAAATCCAACAATGCACTCAATGTATTTTCTGGATATAACCCTTGTTCTCACTAATCATCTATAACCCAAAGAGACTAATCTTAGCAAGCCATTGTTGTTATTGTTATGTGCCATTGAGTCAGTTCTGATTCATGGAGACCCTGTATAGGGTTTCCAAGGAGCAGCTGGTAGGTTTGCAATACTGACCTGTGGTTCTCAGTCCACACCAGGAGTCCAGCAAGTCACTAAGCTTAATTAAATATTAGAAATGCACATAAAGTTTTTGGCTGATAAATTTTATATCATTGTGCTAAAACCTTTAACCCAGTCTTACTAGGATTAAAGTTAGAGGTCCAACTGACATGTACTGTAAGGGGTTCTATAAAGTAGGACCACTGAACACACAAACCACTCCACATTGTATCTGGGTAATTTTTAAGTTATATTTCAGAAACCCTAGTTTCTTCATTTATTACTTACCAGCCAGTAATATATATTTATGGAGTCCTGGTACGGTGCTGTAGGATAAGCACTGGACCGCAAGATTGGATGAACCGCAAGGTTGGCGGTTCAAACTCACCAACTGTTCTTTGAAAACCCTAAACAGGTTGGCTATGAGTTGGAACCAACTCAATGGCTCTTAACAACTAGTGTATATTTAGCTATCTTTTGCTATTAAAATGAAATCTCACTTCTCATTCCCACTATATTCAAAGACTACAATTGATGAAAGAAAAACATCAAGCAACATATGTGACTGTACTAAATGTATTTTTAAAAATTAAATGGTTCTAAAATAGGAATAAGTGATTGGCAAAAAAAAAAAAAAAGAAGGATTTTACATTAAATACCTATCATTATCTTTTAATTCCACTTTCATTGAACTTTTAGAAGCCCCTTAGTATGAGTGGGAGCACAGTAGCTCTGTAGCAGAAGCACTGGACTGCTAACCTAAGCAGTTCAAACCAACCACCTGCTCCATGGGAAAAAGAGTTTTCTGCTCCCACAAAGATTCACAGCCTCAAAAACCCTAATATTGTTGTTAAGTGCTGTTGAATTCATTGCAACTCATAATGATCCTATATAGTTTTTCCTGGGAGTGGTTGTTTAGTTTGAACCACCAACCTTTGCGTGGTCCAGTGTTTGTCCCACAGAGTTACAACAGCACTTCTATATAGTAGGGTCATTATGAGTCAGAACTGACTGGACAGCACTTAACAAGTATAACGAGGAAAGAATACTTACGGGTTTAAAACCCAAATCACATCATTTGAATGAGTTCAAGTGACACCTAACATGACTAGAGGGCCAACAACATAAAAGTCTCACTGGAAAAGAGAAGTATGTACATTACAAACTTAACAACAACTATATATTCTTATGATTTTAACTTGTTTCAAAATTTAACAAATATTTGATACAGAAACTTTTTATAGAGAATCTAAGGTTAGCCTCATTACAACGCTTTTCATGGAAGTGAACAGGATTAAAAAGTTTAGTTACGGCAGTGTGTATATTGATGCTGTTGGTAAGTGCTGTAGAGTTGGTTCCAATTTATTGAGACCTTGTATGTAGTGACTCTCGAAGAGTGGCAGGAGGATCTGAAGCACTGACCCTGAAGTTAACATTACAGTGCTTACTCTACAGCTCCACACCAGGACTTCTGCATATAACAATTGTAAAATATACTGTATATGTTGTTGTTAAAAGTCATCAATTTGGTTCTGACTCATACGAGCCTATACATTTTTTGCAGGAGCAGGAAGCCTCATCTTTCTCCTGCAGAGTAGGCTGGTAAGCTCAAACAGATGACCTTATGGTTCACAGTCCAGTGCTTATCATTCAGAGCCACCACATCCCCATATTTTATATAGCAATTGCAAAATAAAGTACCTACTGAAATAAATAATTTGAAAAATTAATGGACACTGCTCAAATCTGCACAGCAACTGTAAAGGTTATCTTGTAAACAAATGAGATTAGACAATATTGCTTACCAGAAATGAGAAGACAATCTGTGTGTACAAGACTTTCTGGTACTTTCGGTTGCTCCTCAGTATGGACTTCAACTGCTGAGAATAGCATATTATGGGATCTACAGCAAGTAACCAAAATTCATCCAACAAAACTTCCTTAAACATAATTTGACTAAAAGTTTTTATTTCACTCCCAAATGTCAATTTCCAATAGAAGCACAAAACATTATTACTATTTACTAAAAACTAGCATAAGAAACAGCAAAATTAGGAATCTTATAATATACCATGTCAGCATTTTTTTAAAATACAAGTACTTGTTTTTTTAACATATATCTTCATGAAATTATATTTTTAGTGAGTTATTCAATGTAAATTTAGAGTATTTTAAGTTAATTTTGGGCTTTCTATGTACATACCCAATTTACAAATTTATAATTTCAAATACAATCCCAGACTTTCATATGAAACCATAATTAAATTCAGTAAATAATTTTTCCCAACTTAGTAAGAGTTTCTTATTAACTCCAGATTCTCATGTATAGTAATTGCTATTATAAGTACTGAAAAAAGTGAGGAGGCTTCAGGACTTCGTGGAAAAATTCTATTACCTTTTAATTTTGTTTTTCCATGAACTTTGCGAAGCCAACTCATATATTCAAATAACTCTCAGAAGAACAACTTTGTTGTTGCTGTTAAGTGTCGTGGAGTCAGTGACCCTGTACAGTTCCAACTCACAGTGACCCTGTATAGGGTTTCTGAGACTTTTAAAATCTTTTTTGGGAGCAGAAAGCCTCCTGTTTCTCCTGAACACTAACTACATCCACTAGACTGCATAAAACAATAATTTCTTAGGGAATCTAACTCAGCAAGAAACAAACGACTATAGCTAGTCGTTTTAAGTCTAACTAAAGAGGGAAAAAAAGCCAAATTGCTTTCATAATAAAAACCATTTGATCCTTAAAGCATGCAGTTATGAATAAATCTGGAGTAGAGCTGTAGAGGTGTGGGTAAATGTGCTGCAATGCAAGGTAGTTTTTAAACTGCAAGGTCAGTGTTTCAAGCTTACCAACTACTCCTCAAAAACCCTATATGGGATTGCTATGAGTCGGAATCAACTCGACAGCACTTAACAACAAAAAGATTATTATTTGAGTCCTGGTGTGGCGCTGTAGGATAAGCACTCAACTTTAAGGTCGGTGGTTCAAATTCACCTTGGAAGCCCTATACAGAGTTATAAGTCAGAACTAAACTGACAGTACTTAATAATGACAAAAAAGTTATTTGTTATATTAAAAAGTTCCTTTGTAAAACAATTTCCTAGGTGACTGTGCTAATTTTATGTTGAGAGAACTAAGTTTTAGTAGATTCACTATACACGCAAGGGTTTATTCCAAACAAAATTCGTTAAGCATGTCTCTGCTATCAATGGATGGCTGAAAACAAGTTCTCTCAGTAAAGCACTTGTCTTCATCTCAAGGTGCCTTCAAAAAAAGATACTTAAAAAGAGCAATGATCAAAAGATCCACTATCTTAAGAGTTGATCTTTCCATCAGTGTTTTAAGCATGAGTGACGCTAAGGAAGAAGATTTTATGTAAAGAATCATAACTGGGGATGAGGAGTCTTGGATTTCCCAACAAGATCTAGAGAGCAAGGTACAATCAAAACAGTAGCTTCTGAAGGATCTGCAGGGTCAGTTGAATTCAAGACAGAGAGGTCAACTCCAAAGGTTATGTTGACTATTTTTTGGGATTCCAAAAGAGCAATCTGCATAGACTTTCTCGAAGGACATAGGACAATAGCAGGGGCTTATAACAAAAAAGTTTGTAAGAAACCTGATAATTGTAACTGTGAGCAAAAGATAAAGCTAAGTTGTGCCAACTAATTTTTTTGCCATCATGATAATGTACCTGCTCATTCTCTGAAGGTAGCAAGAATTTCATTGGGAAACCTTATTGGATACACCCTACAGTTCGGAACTTGGCCCTTCAGATTCCTTTTTGTTTCCAAAACTCAAAGAATATTTAAAAGGAACATAATTTGAGTTCTTCACAAATGTCTAAACTGGCATTTTGACATGGTGCAAATTGAAGAGTGAAGACAATCTTTGGGGAAGTGTTGTTAAGTGCCATTTAGTAGATTCCAACTCATAGCAACCCTGTTCAGGCTTTCCCAACAACAGCTGGTAGATTTGAACAGCTGACCTTGTGGTTTGCAGTCCAGTGCCAATTGATAGCGTCACACCAGGAAGTATTTGAGAAACAGACATACTACCTTCAGAAGTGTATAGACTTAGATGAAAGGTGTATCATGAAACAATACCTTCATATTTTGATATTCTTGTTTATAGCAATACTTTTTGACTTACCTTCATACAGAAAAGGATTTCAACAAGTTTGTGGAAAAATTCCATTACCTTTCAATATCTATTTTTCCATGAATATTTTGAAGCTCCCATGTATATACATTTTCTTTAAAAAGCAAAGTACAACCATTATCACAAGCATTCTTACCATCCGGAACAATTCCAGTTGTGAACGCTTGACCTTTCATGTCTTTACTGATTTCTTGCTCCAGAAATACCACATGGTCTTCAGGTCCTTCAACTTCCATTTCACTATAATCTTAACAGAAATTAATGTATGAATTCTTTAGATCAGAAGGAGCTTTTCTGTTAACTAAGACAACAATTTTATTACTAAAAATGACATAAGCATAAATTACTGTTTTTCTGTTGTAGCCAAACCATGTTTATATATTTTTTAAAAATCAAAAGTATAATGTATTAAAAGATCATTGGCATTTTATTATTTTAAAAAGGATATTCCAAAAGTGTGCAGTAGTCCCCCTCACCTTATCTGTGGTTTTGCTTTCTATGGCTTCAATTACCCATGGTTAACCACAGTACAAAAATATTAAATGGAAAATTCCAAAAATAAACAATTCATCTAACTTTTGAATTGCAAGTCATTCTGAGTAGCATGATGAAAGTTCTCACCACCGTGCTCCATCCTGCCCAGGATGTGAATCCAGCGTATCAACACTGTATCCACTACCTGCTCTCCTTTGTCACTTAGTAACTAATCCATCTCAGTTAACTCAGATTGATTGTTGGGATACTGCAGTGCTGATGGCCATGTAACCCTCATTTTACTTAATAATTGTTTTATTTTGATTATTAATAATAGTCATTATTGCTCATCTTTAATTATACCTACAAATTAAACTATCATAGGAATATATGTATAGAAAAAAAACAGTATAAACAGGGTTTTATATATACCCAGTTTTAGGCACTCACTAGGGATTTTGGAATAAAACCCCATGGATAATGGGGGATTACTGCACACTGACAGCATCCTGAATATGAAATGTTAGTAAAAATTAAGGTATGTCTAACTATACCCCTTGCAGATGATAAAATAGGACTTTTACAAAAGTCTTCATTCATACTGATGAAATTGAAAAAAGCAACAGGGAAGAGGGCCTTAAATCTTACCCTTTAGAACACCTAACCATCAAGATGCTATTTTAAGCATTCCATATCTGAACAAAGTTTTTGATTCCAACAGGTAAGAATTAACATTTAAGAAAGACGTTATGAAAACCCAAACCTGTTTAGACCAAGAAAACCCATATTGTGAAGAGCAAACTAAGTTATATGAGTAATGAATGAAGAACTTTCACCGTTGGCTTCAACACCACAACTGGAATTCAAATATGAGAAAATGTATCTTAATGAAGTTAGATTAGATTTCAGTCAACAGATTCAGAGATGACCAAAATAACAAGTATAGTTAAAGGTTAAGGAATTAAGACTAACATTGGATCTGATATAAAGTCTAATTAGGAAAGTTTGATTTAAAAGGCAAAAATCTCAGGTTTACCTTTACTGAATTCAGTCACCTCCATTTCATCACCTGGCTGTATTGAATCCATCTCAGCTGTCAGCGGTTTACAATACATGCAGATATACTCTTCTTTCATTTGAGAATCCAGTTCATGATCCACTGGTTTGTCACATTCTGAATGAACCCACCTACCGTGATAAATAAAAATATATAATTGAAATTCAAGTTAGTTTTTACGGAAGGAGGCCAAAGGTCACACGAGTTGGTAAACGGCAAAAACTCTAAAACAGTTTTGGCATTTTTGAAAACCATTTAAAGTGCACATTTTAAAAGTATTTCCCTTTATCTTTGTTCTCTTCATGCTTATTTCTATTGTTTTTGCTTTTGCTCATTCATTTTCCTTATGCCTTTCAGACCCACAAAAACACAATTTAATTCTATCTATACTAGCAGTCAATACTAAAAGGGACTATTCGGATAGTAAAGTTTGGAGTCCAGAGGTGTACATGGTAGGGTAAGTGATCATATGGATAAAAGAAACCACAAAATGCTTTTATGGATTGCCTGCATTTCTTACCTTTTACACATATTACAATGAAGCATGTCTTCTTGAAATTCTGGATGGTAGCACTTCCCACAAAAAGGGCAAAAGTTATCCTGTTCTCGGTAACAACTGTCACATAGTAGGCAGTTATGGTGCCACTGAGAAGTAGATCGTGTGCCACACTCTACACATATTCTGCAATTCTGAACATCAGAAAAATGAAAAACAAAATAATTTGTTATTGCAGTTCTGATGGAAACCTTTCTAAAGCCAACAATGACACCACTGAATTGCATATTAGCTCTAATGTTTAACACATTCACTTAGGGTGTGTATTTTTTTGGGGGGAGGGGAATTGCTTTGAAATGTGTGATGTGACCTCATGCAATTCACACTAAAACTTCCAGAAAAATGTAAGTAAGATCGATAACATTCAGGAATCCATCTATGGGAAAGAAAAAAACCAAGAACACAGCAAGCCTAACTTCAAAAACAAAGCATATTCAGGAATCAGGAAACAGCTTTTACAAAGTAAGTCTACTCAACTCACTAGTGCAAAACACAAAATGGAGCTGTTAGGATAGTCCAACAGCTTCTCAGTAAATTAGGAGCTAAAAACAGTACCTTGTACTGAAGAAGTTACCATCACACATGACAAATTACTTGGTATTTGAAATTGTGAAAACAATCAATCCACACTCAAATTCAATGACTCCTCTATTTTTTAAGAATGAAGAGGGGACTGATTATTCATCAAAGTGGAACTGTTTATGAAGTGCAAGGCTGCCAAAAGTCAGCCAAAATCCTTTTAAGTGCCTATGTGCTAGCCTGATAAACTGTGGGGCTCTCATTATTTGGCTCAACCTCTCAATCTAAAATGCCAATAAAAGTAATTTCATCTTTTGATGAACCGTGAGGTTGATATGAATGAAGTATTCACTTAAAAGGAGAATGAGCATGAATACTGACACAAAATAAATATGGACATATAAATCCTGAATAAAAATATTAGCTAACAGACTGCAATACTACCTTCAGAAAATGGGATTTATGCCAGAAATGCATGGAGGGTTAGGTATTAGAAAATCTATTAATTTAACATATTAATAGGTATTTTCTTGTTGTTGTTAAGCGCTGTCGAGTCAGATCAGACTCACAGCGACCTTCAACAGGGTGTCTAAAGAGCAGCTGGTGGGTTTGAACCACCGACCTTGTGGGTCAAACCAACTTTGCAGTTCAGTGCTTTATCCCACAGCATTGCCAGGACTCCTAATAGTTACGAGGAAGAAAAAAAAAAAAAAATTCAACAGCTGGTGAAAAAGTCTTGTAAAAAAATCCTTGAGAAAAAAAATACAGATGAATGAGTATTTTAGTGTGATAAAAAGTAAATTTCTTTATCCTAATGCTAGCATCTTATTTATTAAATTTAATGGAGAAACCCTAGAAGTACTACCACTTATGGTTAGGAAGAAAGGCAAATATGCCTACTATGGTCTCCACAATGATTTAACATGCTTCTGGAGTCAATGGAAATAAACAATTTGAGGCATAAGAAAATGAAAAAGAATGAAACAAAATTCTGATTAATACTTGGGAAACACTAGAAAGCGAATCACATAATTAAAGCAATAGAAGAAAAAAGTAGCAGAATATACAATTAGCATGGGAAAAAAATCAGTAGAATTCCTGTACACAAATCATATGGAGTCCTGGGGTGGTGCTGTGGGTTAGTGCACTGGACTGCAAAGCCTGTCTGAATTTCAAGGTTGGTGGTTCAAGGTCACTCCTCAGAAACCGTATACTGGCTCACTATGGGTTGGAAATGACTCCACGGCACTTAACACAAAAACAAAGGGGTTGATGAATGAGAAAAACAAACATAAGAGTAGTACTACAGACAAAATATTTAAGAATAAGAAACAGTCAAATCCCTATACAAAGAAATTATAAAGTATTTCTCAAAGACACTATGACAAAACTTAATAAATGGAAAGGTATCCCTGTTCTTGGTTAGGCTGTCTTACCAGAAAGACTTAAATTAGGGAGAATTTATTTTATAAAACTAATACAATCCAAATATTTATTAAAAGCCCAATGAAGGTTTTCACACAACTAGATAAACTAATGCTAAAGTTCATACAGAAAAATAAAGAACAAAAAGGAAAAATATGCAAAGAAAAAACTCTGAAGAGAGAACCGGAGAATAAGCACCGGACTGCTAACTGCAAGTATGGCAGTTCAAACCTACCAGCTGCTCCTTGGAAACCTTATATAGGGTTGCTATGAATCAGAACCAACTTGACAGCAAAGAACAACATGTATATGTATAAGTGAATACTCAAGCATGCATTTGCTATACTTAGCACCCACTGCCCATCCCATTAAAGGAACCTCTGCTACTTATTCAAAAGAGAAATGATTCCAGGGCTGGGCAGGGGAGGCAAAAGATGAGCTTGGAATATTTGGTAAGCTAAAAGCAATAAATTGCTCCCCACCCGTTCCAGTGTGTATCACTGGGACACAGGAGTCAGTTTGAACGGGCTGTAGTTGTTCTTGGGTGCCATGGGGTCCATTCTGACTCATAGTGATTCCCTGACAGAGTAGAATTGTGCCGTAGGGTTTTGTTGGCTGGATTATTTACAGAAGCAGATCACCAAGTCTTTCTTTCTCAGAGCCATCAATCACCAACCTTTTGATTAGCAGTTGAGTGTTTAATCATTGCACCACCTGAGCTCCACTGAATGGCCTATTGTTCTTGTTAAGTGCCATCTAGTCAGTTCTGATTCATAAGGACACTGTATAGTGTTTTCAAGGAGCAGCTGGTGAGTTTGAACCACTGACCTTATAGTCCAGTACATTATCCTATGGCACTACACCTGAATGGGCTACCAGTGGCCAAATAAGGGACAATTTGAACACAAAAACAAGTAATAATTTACAAATCATTCAAATAATAGGAATTCATGAATCATTATCCGTAACACCAAAAATAAATAATTTTAACATGTGGAGGAGAGGGCTCTTCCTTACAGTAGAATGTGGAGGGAGTATTGGAATTAGGAAATAATATGCAAACAATACGTAAAAATTCAGTCAGGCAATGGTTTCTAAAATCTAGGAGAGAATTTTGCTGAGTAGTGAGGTATTGCTATTGCCTTACATTGTCTCCCTACAGTGTGCTTCTTTAGATATATAAAGGAGGAGGGGAAAATAAACAATGGAGAAATTTGGCCACAGCTTTATTAGGCAATCAGAATGTACACCACCTATGAGGGAGGGACGTGCACTATAGGCATCCAGATGTGCTACTCTGAAAGGACACATTATCATTATGTAGTATTCTGGCCAAAAAATGTTTTACCCTCAATCTAATAACATGTCAGGTAAACACAAAGTAAGGAATAGCCTACTAAAAACAAAAAGGTGTGGTGACAAAAGTCACACTGACCCCTGCCCCCCGAAAAAAAGAGAAAACAGCTTGGAAATTTTCCCTATTAAAGGAGGCAAAAGACACAGCAACTAAATTGAATATCCAGAGCGTGGAGCCTATATGGGTTGGGGAGTGTGGAGAAACTGCTATATAAAAATTTAGACAAATCAACTGATAAATTTGCAAATGAATAGTAAGGTAGATGAAAGCATGTATTAAAGTAAATTTATTTAGTTGAAAAGGGTACTGTGGTTATATAAGACTAGTGCTAACATTAGGAAATACGCACTAAATTATTTTGGTACAAAATGGTACAAAATAACTAACCCTTAAATGGTTCAAGAGGAAAAGCAAAACTAAACAAAAAGACTAGACTCACACCTTCTTGAGGGCATACTCACCGGCCCTGCATTCATCATAGTGTGTCAAAGCTTGCAAATGTAAGCTTAATTAATGAACAAATTATAACTAAACACTACAGAAAGTCAGAAGAGCGGAGTACAGGACCCTACCCAGAGAAACAGTGACGCCAGAGATGGAGGCGTAGACAATGACATGGAGAGATGGAGCAGTGTGCTGATGACCAGGGGGCAGGCTTGCAGGGTATACCCTTTGGTTGAATGATGATGCATGGAGGGTATTGTAACCATGGAAATGAAATGATTATACGATAGGATGCATGTAAAGCTAATGTTCTCCCATGTAAACTATCACATAATTCACAATAAAACATTTTTTAAAAAATGACTAAGAAAGTGAAAGAACAGCAACGAGATAATGCTTCAGAGTTCTCAAAGACAAGCCTTCCTATGGAAAAATCCAAGGTGATTATTTGAGTACTTACTTTGGGTTGGCATTATATGTTTCATCTCATATCCCTGTGAGGTCAGTTCCATTAACATAGTTACGTAGTAGTTGTTGTTAAGTATCATCAAGTTGGTTTAGACCCATAAAGACCCTTATAGGATTTTCCAAGGAGCAGGTGGTGAGTTTGAATTGCCGATCTTGTGATTCAAACCAACCCTGAGGTCAAGTGCTTATAGTACACAGAGGAAACTGGCTTAGGGAAGTCGGTTGCCAAAGATCATATATATACTTGATAATTGGAAGGGCTGAAATTTAACTTTAGAGCCTAAGCTTTAAACTATTACACTATTTCCATTAAAGAAAAAACCAAAGTAACTATCCAGTAGGTTCATCAGCAATATTAAGAATTATGTTGTCAATCTGAAAGAGCAGATGACTGTAGACAGCAAATGAGGAAGAGAGCAAACCAAAGAGAAAGCAAAAAACAACCTCAATATGTACTCCAAGAAACCTGAGAAACTTTCAAAATAACGAAAAATGTAACATAATAAAGAAAATAATCAACTACATCTAGTTCTTACTAAGACTATAAAGACTAGAAAACATGGGTGTACAAAACAAATTAAAGATGAAACACTTCTCTAACCCTTTAAATACAAGGGGTTAAAAAAGTTTGTGGAAAAATTAAAAGATAACGGAATTTTTCTACACACTTTTTGAAGCTGCTGTAGACCTGATTAGAGAATGGCAGTAGTCAACAATTTCAGGCAAAATTAATTCACATTAGAAGCTACTAACATAAATACAGATCTATTATGAACTATAGGAGCCTAGTGGCTCCATATGATAAGTACTGGACTGTGAAATACAAAGCCCACAGTTTGAGCCATTGAGCCAATCCACGTAAGAAAGTCAAGGCTTTCTGTTCCCACAAAATTTAAAAAGATTCAGATATCCTATGTTGTTGTTAAGTATCATCAAGTTGGTTAGGATTCACAGTGAACCTGTAAAGAGTTTCTGAGGAGCAGCTGGTGGGTGGGTTTGAACTGTAGACCTTGTGGTTCAAAGTTCAGAGCTGATTCTACAGCCTCACACCAGGAGGCCTATGCAGGGAGGCTGTAAGTCAGAATCAACTATATATCATGAGACATATCCAGGAAAAAATTCAACGAAGGAAACATCCCATAACTTTGAAGCAGAAATGATTGTAATCTATTTTTTGGTTTTTTGTTTTTAAGGAAGGTTTTTCTTCTGTGATGTCATAAGCTCAAAGAATTATGAAGATATCCTTCCAGGGTAAAAACTGAAGCACATAACAAACATTATACCAAACCAAATTCTTAGGATAGTTACAGCTCTCTTTTAAAGTATCATAAACAAGGCTGCAAGAATGAAGGGTGACTGTTGTTGTTGTGAAGTGCCATCGCGTCGATTCCAACCCACAGCCACCCTGTATAGAGTTTCCGAGGAACAGCTGGTGAGCTTGAACCACTGACCTTGCAGCTCAAACAGCTTTGCAGTATGACACATTAACCCACAGTGCCATACCAGGACTCCAACGTTTATATAGGCTAGAGTTAATTTTATCATGACAAAGAACACTAAATTTATGATGTTGTTGTTGTTATGTGCTGTGGAATCGGTTCTGACTAATAGTGACCCTGTACAGGGTTTCCGAGGCTGTAAATCTTTATGGGAGCAGAAAGCCTCATTTATCTCCCGCGGAACAGCTGGTAGTTTCGAACTGCTGACCTTCCAGCCCGCAGCCCAATTCGTAACCACTACGCTACCAGAGCTCTTAGAATTCATGGAAAAAGATTCTGAACTATATATATCACTGTAAGAAATAAAAGGAATAAAAAAAAGGAAATCAAAACAAAAAATTACCTTACAATATCTTAGCATTTCAATTACAATTATCAATATAAATAGTTTCATTTTCCAAGGATATATTTAACAGAGGGACCCCAAATAAAAAAATATTAAAAGGTTAAAACCAATCATGACCATATTTATTTAAAAAAAAATTCACATTACATGGAATATAGTCGTTTTACATTGATAAAATATGCAATATATTAACACTGCCCTGGCCTACCGGTCTACTTGCTAGATTTGTTGTTAAGTGCCGTGAAGTCGGTTCTGACTCACAGCAACCTTGTATAGGGTGTCAGCCGAGTGGCTGATGAACTTGAATCTTGCAGTTTAAAACCAGTTTTATAAGTGCCACATCAGAACTCCTGCATGCTAGATAACAATTACAAAATAAGATTTTTGTTTAAAAAAAAAAAAAAAAAGATTGCAAATGTATATTCACACATGCATATACATGTAAAATAAAAGGATAAAATGTCAGAAACCCCATTGTTGTTAAAGTGCTGCTGAGTTGGTTCAGACGCATAGCGATCTTGTACAGGGTTTCCAAAGAGCGACTGGAAGGTTTGAACCACTGACCTTGTGGTTCCCAGCCCAGTGCTGATTCTAATGAATCAACTAGTCAAAAAAACAATGAGAAAAATTTCTTTAAATAAGTTTTATAAGCACAAATGCTGCCCCTTTAAAATAAAAAAAGAATTTACTGGGCAGAAGGAAATAGTACACTATAGGAACCCTCTGTACTTCTTGTGAACTTTTTCTATAAGCCTAAATCTGATTTAAAAATAAATGTACACATGTGTGCGTGAACGAACACACACATGAGGGAGAGTTAAAACGTTTTGGAAAAATTCCATTAACTTTTAATTCTGTATTTTCACGGACTTTTTAAAAAACAACTTTGTATATATACACATAGTGTGTTTCAAGCATAATAAATTATTGGCTGAAATTTGAAAATTACTGATTAAATACAATTAAACCAGAAATTAACATCTGTAAGCATAACCTATAAAGAAAATGAAAGATGAATAGTTACTATTCATCAGGTAAACATCACAAATACAATATTATCTGGATGCAGCCAAACCCATAACCAAAGGTAGATTTGTAATCTTAAGTATTCTTTGTCTTAGGAAAAAAATCAAACTAGGAATTTTCTGACTTCAGAAAAAAGACAAGAGGTACTGTTGAAGTAGAGATGCATAAGTATAGAAACTTTAACAGCAGAATTACCAACTATATCAAAAACTTTTTTTTTTCCTTATCCCAAAGATAAAGTGAGAAAGACAACACAAAAACCCACCTCTTATGGAGAGCAGTGAACTGGAACTACCTGAGAAGGTAGGGCAAGAGGCCATGTCAGCTTTTCGTTCCTTCCCGTCCCTCCTCCCAGTGGCCATTCCAGAAAGTACTGTTACCCAGAAGCTCTTTGTCCTCCAGGTGAGAAGCTATTTCCCATTCCTATAGTAAAGGCCCACCCGAAGCCAGATGCAGAATAGAAAGCGTGGGGGCTGCCTATAACTTTGTAGTTTAGTTTTCCATTTCAGGTGCCAGTCCTTACTAAAGGTGGTGGGAACAGGGCGGATCATGAGCTCAGGTGCTCCTGGGTTCCTTGGCATCATCTCCCATTCCCTTCCATCGCATACCATTCCCAGGTGCTTGACTCTCCTAATGAGGCCATATACCTTTGGAGAACCATAGAACTCCTCTGGACCTGGGGGGCACATAAGGCACTGACTCCCTAGGCCAGCACTGCAGCCTTCCCCTTTCCCAAAGCCTCTACACCCTTTGCAGCTCCAGAGCAAATGCACTGGAGATCACCTCAGAGCCTATTATCCTGGAAACTTAAGCCAGGAAGTTATCCAAAGACATCTCCAGCACTCTACTCCACCCTTTGTTGTGAGTTAAGTGCCATGCAGTGCATTCAGACTCACAGGGATAGACCCTAAATAGGGTTTCCAAGAAAAGGCTCGTGGGTTTGCTGTTAGTTGTCCAGTGTCCCTTTTAATACTAAATCCATGGAGGAAATGAAGGTGACAAAACAGCAAATGGAGTCAATAAATAGTAGGGGAAACTGAGGTCAAGGGCAGCAAAGCCAATGGTGATGGAATGTGACAATGCAGTAAGACCACAGGTTTTCTAAGAATTTCAAAATTTTCATGAAAATGCTCATTTAAAAATTAATATAAAATTCAACTGACATTCAAGATTATGAAACACGAAACCTGAATTTAAGTCCTATTATGCTTGCAGAAATACACAAACTTGCACAATTTAACAACTAGGCCCCCCTCACCTGCTCTCAATTGAGAATTTTTTAGTTTACTTATAAAGGTGTGGCTTCCAAAAGAAACACATGGGCTACATTATGAATAAGTTCTTTTAGAGAACATTGAAAGAAGGGTGATAGTAAATATTGTTCATACAGAAACATATTTTTATTGAGTCTGATGAGAATTAAGGTAAACTTTATTTTACCTTCTACTGTCATTTTAATACCTTAAATACTTTGTGTATATCATTCTAAAATCTATCCTTCCTTCCTTCTTCTTGTTTGGTACTATATAGTTCTGGCTCACAGTGACCCCTTCTGACAGTGTAGAACTGACCCAAAGGGTCTTTATGGAAGCAAATTACCAAGTCTTTCTTAGGAACTGCTGGGCATGTTCACCAACTTTTTGCCAGTAGTTAAGTGCTTAACCATGACCACCACCAGGACTCTCTTTACTGTTACTAACACTATACAACCTTTGCCCCAGTAAATAGGTCAACTAACCTCTAAAATTCAGAGTTTAACAGAGCCTCAGTAAATTCCTCATGTAACATAAAGAGGCCAGCAAGGAACAGCTCAAAGTCACAAAATTGAAGATACAAAGGTAGATGGAAGGTCAAATCACTGACTAAAAGAGTAATGAGAAAAAATTAAAAGTAACTAAAAACAGATCTTAAAATGTGTCCCATCAAACAGAAAGTCTTAAACTACAAAAAAGAAAAGGGAAATATGTCTACAGATCTTGTTCAAATCTAAAAACCAGGAGAAAGTTTTGGCAGCATTTGAAAAATAAATATCTAACTCAAAATCACTTACTTAGAATTACCCTCAGAGAGCAGTGGGAGAGGACATACAAAAGCTGCATATATAATGCCAAATATATTTACACATCAGTGTATGCCCAGATAAATACATGAATAAAAAAATAAGGAACCTAAAAGCTAATCAATCAAAATGATAATATATTTTATCTATGGACTATAAATTAATGGGCCTTTAAAAAATCTGTTTCACTTCCCTCATGGAACCATCTTTTTCAGAAGATTACTGGGGAAATAAAAGATAAATCATTAAAAAGCAATTTACAAGACATGAAGTACCTACCATACAACTGTTAGTTATAAACTCATGGCAGCATTATTTATAATAGCTCCAAACTGGAAACAGCTCAAATGTTAATTGACAGGTGATTCAGTAAACAAATGGTGATACCTCTACTATTCAAGAATAAAGAATAAAATCACTACTGATGTATGAAGGGGCTTCAAAAAGTTCATGAAAAAATTCTACTTTTAATTTCATTTGTCCACAAACTTTCTGAAGTTTCCTCATACCCAACAATAGGATGAAGCACAAAATAATTATACTGGGTTATAGAAACCAACTCCAAAAATAGTACACACTGTATGATGTCATTTATATGAATTTCTAGAAAATGTAAACTGCAGTGATAGAAAATAGATTGCCTAAGATGGCAAGGATGGAAGGTGGACAGTTGTACAGTAAGGATTATAACAAGGGAACAGGAAACTTTTGGATATGTAGGATATGTCCATCATTTGATAGCAATGATGGTTCCATGAGTGAGTATACATGTGTCAAATTATAGACTTCATATATGTGCACCTTATTGTATATCAATTATATTACAATAAAGCTACTTTAAAAATATTTATGGTAATATTTTGAGTAGGTATTAGATTAATTCCTCTATATAAAACATATAAATGACATTTTTCTTAAAAACTAAACAACTTACTTTGCATTTCCAGCCATTTGTTGGTACAGATTTCATAACTGGTTGAAGACAAAAAGTATGATACCCTTTGTCACACGTATCACACACCAGCATCTTGCTATCTTCTCCCGATTGTCTAAAAAATAAGATAGTATTAATGATATCTTATCTGTAAACTTATGTTTTATAACTTAGGTAGCCAAGAAAAGAAATTATTCTGGGAACTACAAAGATCATAAATAATTTACTGTATCTTTTGATTCTGCACAAATTATAATAAAGGTAACCCCTCAGAGGATGAGAAAGGTATCTTCCTAAAGTGCCTAAAAGAGTATGATTAATGTGCATGTGTAGTTAACTTGCTTTAGTCATTTAGGATCCCTGCAGAGGTGGGGTTATGGCAAGATGCACCCATTTCATCAGTCCTTGTAAGACATCTGAAACCCATCCTTTCTTGGGGAAGGAACTATTAAGCAAAGCTGCATGGCATGCAGCAGCAGCAGCATGGAAATTAGCCACAGAACAAATGTTGGCACTGTGGATTGAAAAGATATTGTAATATGAAAAGAAGATCAGATTGGGTATCAAGCCTGTATTTACATTCAGATTATTTCCTTGCTGTGCAACTCTGGGACACTTAGATATAAGCTAAGTCTCAGTTATAAAATGGGAATAATCATCTAAGATTGCTGTGAGAACTAAATACAATGCTACTTCAAGAGTTTAGAGGATATATTAAATGGTAGGGTTGTGTGCTACTGAGTCAGTTCCACTCATAGGGACCCTGTATAGGGTACCCAAGACTGTGAATCTTCACGGGAGCAGAAAGTCTCATCTTTCTGCTGGCACATTCGAACTGCTGACCTTGCATTTAGTAGTAAGTATAATTCATAACCCACTACGCTACCAGAACAATCTATCGATTAAATAATAGGTATTAAATAAATATGTATTAACACTAATACACTTGTCATTATTATGAATTGTAATAAAATCTAAAACCTTTCCTAAACGCTCATCTATCCCAAAGATTGGATTCCTGCCCTATTTTTGGCTATTAGCATAATCACTTCCAGATACTAAGAATTCAAGAAAAAGGAAAAAAACAAAAATCCAACCAACCAACCAAAAAAAAAAAAAACAACAACAACAACAACAAAAAAAAACAGGGAATACAAGAGGAGTTAAGAACAGAGCCTCTACAAAGAACCTACGGGTAATTAGAAGTTAAAAGGAAGACAGGTTATTTGGCCTGTAGTCATTTCTTAAGTAAGTTTTTAAAGAGCTCTGGTAGCTTAGTGGTTACAAACAGGGCTGCTAACCTCAAGGTCAGCAGTTCTAAACGATGAGCTGCTCAGCAGAAGGAAGATGAGGCTTTCTGCTCCCCTCAAGATTTACAGCGTCAGAAACCCTATACAGGGTTACTATGAGATAGGACTAACTCCACAGCACTGAACCACCACTAATAGTCAGTTCTTATTAAATTCAACAAATTCTAAACACAAAACTGAGTATTTTCTCTCTCTTTATTCTTCTTGGAGAATATTCTTTCTCCATGCTGTCTTAATCCTTTCCAAGAAACTGAATGCAGACACAAGGTATAAAATAAAGGTATACTGATAATGTCTTTACTTTTTACCAATATTTGAAGGTATATGGTGGTGGTGTACCCTGGAGTCAGTTCTGAATCACAGCGACCCTGTAAAGCGTTTTTTTGAGGCTACAAGTCTTTACAGGAGCAGAAAGCCTCATCTTTCTCCCTCAGAACAGCTGGTAGTTTCAAACTGCTGACCTTGAGGTTAGCAGCCCAACTCATACTCGCTAGGCTACCAGAGCTCCTATGAAGGTAAATGGGCCTATTTATTCCATACAATTCTAAGATATAGATATTTATTATCAAATTCACTAAGCAATAAAAGACTGATCATGGCAGTGTTGGGCATAACTCTCTTGGTCACAAAAACTCTCAGTTTGTAAACAATTAGAAAGCTGTTAAAGAAAGATGCTGCTGCTGCTGCTGCTGTTAGTTATAGTTCTGGAAGTTGGTTCCACCTCATATGTATAGGGTTTACAACGCTATGAATCTTCACAGGAGCAGAAAACTTCGTCTTTCTCCTGTGGAGCAGCTGGGAGATTCAAACTGCTGACCTTATGGCTAGCAGCCCAACTCAAAACTCACTATGCTCTTGTTGTTGTTCAGTGCCATCAAGTTGGTTCAGATCCATACCCACCCTGTATAGGATGCTCCTTAAAGATACTGGTAAAATTCCTAGATTATCATGCTAATTATAATTAGTAGCATGAAGAGAGAAAACAAAACCAAAGGAAACACTGGAGAAATGACCAAGGGATGAAATAAAGGAAAAGATAACCCCATTAAAAACATGTAAATACTTGGTTTTAGAATGATGGTGACTAGGCTCTCTATCAAGGAGTCCTGATATGGCGCTGTAGGATAATGTACTAGACTGAAAGTTCAGTTTAAACTGTAAAGTTGGAGATTCAAACGCACCAGCCACTCCTTGGAAACCCTATACAGCATTGCTATGAGTCGGATCCAACTCAATTGCATTTAACGACAACAACAACAAGATTCTATCAAAGGTAACTTTCTTTCAGATACATGTGTGTTTAAACTATAAGTTTCTGCATAAATTCTTCTTGCTTCCATGGAAATTCAAATACATTGTTGATTCTTTGGATTAACTCTAATTTAACTACTTTTATTTTCCTATTAAATTTTCTCTCCAGTCCTCCTCTCGAAATAAAAAGCTGTCTTACTTTTTGCATGCTTATTTATTTTAAATAGTTAATAACATTAATTTAAAACTTTTTTTGGTAAATTTAAATTCGCTTTTTAAGACATCCAGAGGAATTTAAATTCTTAAAACACGTTTTGTTTAGGTTTGTTTCAAAATCATTTATATGTAAACACAATAGCATTGTTTTAAGTTAAGATATAAAATGGGTTTGAATGAATATAGACAGCTACATTTACAACCTGTATTTCATTAACATAAACCCTGAAGACTCAACATAGACTTTTGTTTTTCCCCCTCTAAGGGTGAGAAATGTTCTTTATTGTGTGCTTGGATATAGTTTCAATTTTTTAGAATAGCATTTTCAAGTTTCCCTCAGCCCTTAAACTATCAGCCTATATTTTTATCAAAAGACAGGATTTCACTGCTTTCTGAGAACTTTGTTAACAGCTCTCAGAAGCATCTTATTCTGCATTCTTTTCCAATCCCTTTTTCTTCTCCACCTCTACTCTTATTATTCTACAACAAGCAATTTTAATTCTATGTAATTAAAAAAAATTTGCTCAGCTATTTCAGTGTGAAGAACAAAAATACAGGCGTCCCCCTCCCCCACCATATACATGGAACTAAGTTTCTCCCAAATCAGGCAAGTCCCTGCGTCCCCTTTTAAAAAAGTTTTTATTGTGAATTATGTGATCGTTTACATCCTATCATATGTCGTTTCATTGCCATCAACATAGACTTCTGAGATGAAATGAAAACTTACTTGCAGTTCTGGCACACTTTGCACTCAGGACATTGCCACCCTGCTCGTTTTAGTGGAGTAGCCGTTATATCCAGGCACATCCCATGATAGTGCTGACCACAAGTGGTACAAAAGAACTGATCTAAGAGGTCGCCCGGGCTGTCGCACACTGCACAGTTTGCATCTTCCTTTGCTACAATTTAACAGTAAAACAGTGAAATTGTACAAAAATTTAGTATTTTTTTTTTCTACTTTTTAGTTTGAAAGTGACTTGAAGGGAATTTGCATGTTAACTCTCTCAAACACCTGAAATTATCCACAATACTGACATCCAATCATAGTAAAGATCTCAAAACAAAGATTGTGGTGTGTTTAAACTAAATTACATAAAATTTAATTATACACTTTAAAGATTATTTTTGCCTACACTTACTTGACACCATAGACAATTCTTTTGCAAGTTTATAACCCTATTATCAATGATAATTCAGGCCACTCAGTTAATGCTCAATATATGCTAGCCGAAAAGAACATAAAAAGAGATGGAAACAAAAAAAACAAAAAAAAACAACAACCATTAACACTTTGCAGTGTGAAAGCAAAAATTTTCCTTGGAATTAAATGTAACTTGAAATTAACAAAATGAGGTAAGGTACAAAGTTAAGAAACGCTAACGTCATTTAGATTAAGGTGCTTTTTAAACACCAACAACATACACAAACTTTTTCCACTCAAATAGGGCTTTTAAAATACTAGACAATGTCTCCGAGAAACAACATTAAGATGGCTGATACATAATCATACACAAATATAAGATTTCATATATTAATTCTGTATTCATCTATACCATTGCTAGATTCATTAAAATTCATGTAATTATGGACCATCATCTATGTCCAAATGTGATTAAAAGAAATAGCCAAAAAAAAAAAAAAGACAGAAATGGCACTATTTAGCAACAGTTCTTTTACCATCTAAACCAAAAACAGATAGGATTAGTTGGCTTGCCAGGTATACAGTAAAACTTACACATATTATAAGAAGGTAAATAAGGTATTTGAAAATCTTAACAGTTTTAACTGACATATATAAACATATCTGACAAAAGTGTTTGGTTAGCTGATTACCCTTTTAAATGTTTATTTATCATTTAAAATGATAAATATGAATCTTTTTTTTGTTTTTTTTAATAGTACTATCTATACCTCTCTGGCTATAAGTCCTTGCTATCTTCTTTCTTTCCCAGTCAAGCATCTTGAAACACAGTAGTAATCTATTCCTTTCATTTATATCAGGAGTCAGAAAACATCTTCTGTAAAAGGTCAAATAATAAGTATTTTTGGGTTTGTGGGCCATATGGGTTCTTGTATGCTTTTGTTTGCAGTATTTTTAAAAATGTAAAAACCATTCTTACCTTGGAGGCAGTACAAAACCAGACCCTGGATGTACTAGAACTGCAGGCTGTAGTTTGTGGACCCTTGACTTATACTTCAAAAACTGCCCTTGATTTCATTCATCTGAAGCCACTTTGGTGAGGCTACCAGTGGTCATGTTGTTGTTAAGTGCCATCAAGTTGGTTCCAGCTCATAGTGACCCATTAAAGGGGTTTCAAGGAGCAGCTGGTAGATTTGAACTGTCAACCTTGCGGCTAGTAGTCCACTGCTTATCCCACAGCGCCATACGGAAGACTCGCCAGTGACCGTATTGTTGCTAAAAACCAGTAGTTACTTTCTAAGTCTTAACCTCAATTAGACTTTTCAGCATTTACATTACTAACCCTCTCCATTAATATTTTTTTTTTCCCTAAGAAGGCATGTCTCTCCTGATTTGGATTTCCAAGGACTCTACAATCCCTTTAAAATGCTTAAGCCCCTGAGCGGTGCATTCTGTTCCTTCTTTTCTATTTCTAGTTTTATGCTCACATCAATTCCCATGTCATAAATTAATACAAGTCACAATTCTATATCACCAGGCCCAGACTTCTTTCCTAAAATCCAAACCTTTATTTTCAAGTCTTTACTGGATATCAATAGCCAGAAGTTCTCAAGATACTCAAATTCAGTATCTCTTTTAACCAGAATTTTCAATTTTTTTCCAACTATGTGGATAAGGACTCCCAAGTCCTTCCTGACCAACACATCTAATTGGACACTAATTCTTTTTCTTCTTATGAAACTTTTTATTAGGAATTGAGTGAAAGTTTACAGAAAATATCACCAATTTTACATTCAACAAATTATACATTTTGTTTCATCTCAATGACTGCCATCCTCTCCCTGTAACAACAGTTATCTGCCCTGTGATTCTTCTTTCCATTCCACCTCCTTCCCTTTGTTTGTCCTTAGGTAAAGATTGTCCTTCTGGTCTTGAAAAGTTGACCTTTGCATGGTGAGCATACCTTCCTAGTGTTGTTGTCCCCCTATGTATGCTTAATTAAAAATTGGGCCACCAGGTTAAGTTTTGTTCCAAATCTGAAGGGTGGCCAAGGGCCATCGTCTCGGGTTCCTCCATTAAGCCTGGTCTCCTTTTTATAATTTGAATTTTGTTCCACAATTTCTCCTGCTCTATCTGGGGTTTTCTAATGTGGCCCCTTTCAGAGACGTCAGTAGTAGTACCCAGGCACCAATTCTTTTCATCTTCGTACTTCTTCCTTCTTTTGTACAGTTCAAGTCCATATGCTTTTCCCCTGACAATTACAGTATCTATTTAATGGAATTCCTACTTACAGTTCTGACCTCCCCTCTTAAGTTATTTTTTGCATATCCAAAGCAATTTCTTAAATATGTACATCTAATTGCTTAAATGAAAATCCATCACTAGCCCCATTCCACCTAAAAGGAAAAGAACATTTAAAGGCCCTTACACCACCTCCTGTTACATATTGAATTGTACCTCCTCCCCCACTCAAATATGTATTGCAAATCCTAATCCCCTATATCTGTGGATGCAATCCATGTAGAAATAGATTTTTTGTTGTTACGTTAATGGTGCTATATCAGTAATGAAAGGTATGTTTTAAGTCTCTAATATATAAAGAGCAGAGTAGGTAATGAAAAGCAAGCACAGATGGAGGAGAAGATACATGACACAGGAAAATAGTCAAAGAACCAAGGAATAGAACCTGAAAAGAGACTAGGACCTTTCCCCAGAGCAGAGTGAGAAAGCTTTTCCCTATAGCTAGGGCTGTGAGTTTGAATTTCTAGTCTCCTAAACTATGAGGAAAAAACTGTAAATCTCTCTTTATTCCAGTCACCCACTTGTGGTATCTCTGTTATAGCAGCACTAAGAAGTTAGGAACAACAACAGCAAGAAATTAAGACACTTCCCTTTCCAACAAAATCACAGAACCATTATTTTCTGGTCTGCATACACATAGGACACCATAGTCTTGATTCAATGTTTTGTACTTGCATATCTGTTTCCCTCTGTCTGAAATTCTGTTCATTCATTATATTCTAACCCATTGTACAAAGGCCTTCAAAAGTCTGCTCAAACACATAACCTAAACACCTCATACTATGACACCCAAAGACCCATTTAATTGTTAAATAATCCTTTCATTATACGCTAAAATTCTTATGCTATATAATCAAACACAATCCTGTGAAACATTTAAGGAGCTTGTCTTTTTTAACTGTATGTGTGTATCCCAGCGGAGAAGCACAATCCTTATTAAACATATTTAAAATTAAGTACTTGTTTCTAAATCTTTATAAATGGCACTTCAAGCGAAAGGCATTTTGACAAATCATTTATTTAAAACTGGGTCATTAAATTACTTCATTACTTCATCTCTGATGAAAATAACGTAATTAGGGTAAATTATTTATCTTAATACTAAAAGAAAATGCCAGTATTTACCCTCTGAAGCTATGTACATTTAAAAACTGTCTTTGCTTTTTGTCTACCTTCAAAACTTAGAGAAATTGTGGCAAATATTTAACCCTGATTATCAGATACTCAGTTCATCTTTCTGTTGTAATTTGCCAAGCAGGGTACATAAAATCCTCTGCAAAACTTTCTAAAGTCTGTAACTCTTGACACTTCCAACTAGCGATGATAGTCACTCACATGTAGCTAGTTGCAGGACCAGGCAATGCCTTCTGTTGTACATAATAAAATCCATTTGACAATACCTAGCAATGATAGCAGCAACAACACGGAGCACCTGAAATATAGTTAGTCTGAACTGAGGTGTGCTGTACATATAAAATATACACAGGATTCCAAAGACTTAGTCCCCCCTAAAAGTTAAATATCTTAATAATTTTTATATTTATTACACATTGAAATATGTATATTTTGTATATTTTGAATTGAATGAAGTATATATATTATAATTAATTTCAAATGCTCCCTTTTATTCTTAACTTGATGATCAAAAAGTTTAAATTATACAGATAGCTCACATTATATTTCTACTGCACAGCACTGTAAAGCCAGCTCTGTAACAAGACAGCTGTGTATACTGTGGCAAAAATGGCTTTTTATTCTATGATTTTTGTTTTGTTTTTGTTAAGTGGTGTTGAGCCAGTTCCTATTGCTAAAGACCCTGTGTAGGATTTTCAAGGAGAGGCTGGTGAGTTTGAACCAACGACCTTGCAAGTCAAATGACTTTGCAGTCTAGTGTTAATTCTACAGCACCACAACTAAATAGTTCCCAGTAATTTCTTAATGACAATACTGTCACGTTGTCTGATAAGAGATAGAGCAGCTGAAGACTCTAGTAATAAATTAGTACTCACTAGTAATAAATTAGTCTGAAAAAACTACCCATGTGACACAATTTAATACCAAAACACCCAACTATGCATAGGGTCACTATGAGTCAGAATCAATGCAATGGCATAAAACAACAACATATAAAAATTGTTATTGCTAAGTGTTGTTGAGTAGGTTCTGATCCCACAGTGACCCTGTATAGGGTTTCTGAGGAGCGGCTGGTGAGCTTGAATGCTGACCTTGAGTTCAAACTGACCATAGAACTGCACGAGGACTCCTAGTAACAGAAAAAAATACAGTACAAAGATATGAGAAGTGAATGTGGTGAGACTTGGAGACTCCTGAGGCCATGAACAAGGACACAGTCAAGGAGGGCTAGAGCTGAGAGTGAAGCACCCAGCTGATATGAAGTGAGAGGAGACGCACAAGAACACCCAAACTTATAGACAGCACCCATTTGACCTAGCCTCA